TAAACTGATTTCCAATTCCTAACTTTCACAATGTTTCCAAAAAGAATCTACATGACTTGACTTTTTAAATAGGCATAGATGATGCTTCAGTTTGGGAGCCCAATGCTATTGCAAATTTGGAATCCATTAATTTTAATCTCTACATATATAGCCATTGATTAATATGGCAGATGAATATCATAGAATAGCAGAATAATAGAGTTGGACCTTGGAGATCTTCTAGTCCAATCTTCTATCTAAAACCTAAGATTATTAAACTATACTAGACAAGACATTGTCATTGTTTGGATCATTGTTTCAGAAATATTTCCTTAACAAAACAGAGGAAAAAAAATCATCACGGGTGAGCAAAAAAGCAGTGGAAGTGGGCATGAGGCTAAATTATAAATGGCTTTGAACTGTTGTAAAGAATATTGCAAGCCTCCTGTTTGTTGTTTTTTTTAAAAAAAATCTTCTACATTTTTTTCTTTCTGCAGTTTAGCTTTCTTTCTTTTTCTTTATTCTTTCTTATTCCATTTTAATCTGCATTAATGTTTACTCTTGGTTTTAAAACTTCAATAAAATTGTATCAAAAGGAAATAATTTTCATGAAATAATTCCTTGGCAAGGATGTTCATTTCAAGGAAAGCCTTGAGGAAATTACTGAAATGGCTCAAAGTATTTCACTTTTTTGTGGCTTGGAACAATAATGATTACACCAAAATTTATTTCTTAGACAATAATTAGAAATTTAAAAAAACAAACCACTGCACTAGGCTTAGGACCTGGGTACCTACGAGACCACCTTCTGCCACCAGTAGCCTCTCACCGGCCAGTACGCTCCCACAGAGAGGGGCTCCTCAGGGTGCCGTCGGTCAAACAGTGTCGACTGGCGGCCCCCAGGGGGAGAGCCTTCTCTGTGGGGGCACCTGCCCTTTGGAATGAGCTCCCCCCGGAGATACGGAGGATCCTGGATTTACGCACTTTCTGCCCTGCCCTCAAGACTTTTTTATTCCAACAAGCTGGGCTGGCCTAACTCTTTTTAATTGCTTAATTTTAATTTGCTTTTAAAAAAGGGGTGTTTTAATTAGTATGGGCCAAATTTGTTTAATATGTTTTAAATTGTTTTTAAATTTTATATTGTATGTGTTCTATCTTTGGCTGTTCACCGCCCTGAGTCCTTCGGGAGAAGGGCGGTATATAAATCCAAATAAACCTAAACCTAAACAAAAAATGAAGGGAAAGCAATTAAAAAAACCTTTTCAAAAACAATAGAGATGTATGCACAGTGATTCAACAAAATGTGGGATTTTCATACTAAGAAATTCTTACTCAAGCAAGGAATCACATACAAAATTGCAGATTTATTTTTGACATTTCCAGATATACATACGCTATACAGAAAAGAGAGAGAAAAACTATTTACTTTCGGCAGTGCCCATGATATGAAAATTAATTTTTTTTATAGATTGATATATTGATTTATATAGGGGTCGGTGCAGTGTCTCAGTGGTTAAGATGCTGGGCTTGTCAGCTAGAAAGCTGGCAGCCCAGATTTGAGACCTCAGTGTCATATGACAGAGTGAGCTCCCATCTTCGCCCCAGCTCCTGCCAACTAGCAGTTCAAAAGCATGCAAATGCAAGTAGATAAATAGGCATCACTTTGGTAGGAAGGTAACAGCACTCCATGTTGTCACAGTGCCCACATGATCACGGAAATGTCTTCAGACATGGTTCAATGACCTTGAAATGGAGATGAGCAACTCCCTCTATAGTTGGCAATGACTAACGGAGTAAAATCCATAGAGGCTCCTATAGATTAATATACTGTAAGCAAGTAGTAGACTTACACTTCACCAGGGGTGAAATGCTCCCGGTTTGGACTGGATCCTCCAATCCAGTAGCGATGGCGGCAGGTGGTTCGGAGAACCGGTAGCAAAAATCCCTATGCCCCCACCCCCCCCATGCCCAACTGAGCCGCATGATCATCAGAGGCTTTTTTTTTTACTTTTAAAAGCATTTTTTCTACAACCTCTTCGGCCGAAAAAATGCTTTTAAAAGTAAAAAAAAAAAGCCTCTGATGATCGTGCGGCTCAGCTGGGATTGTCAGAGGCTTTTAAAAGGTCTGAAGAGGTTGTAGAAAAAAATGCTTTTAAAAGTAAAAAAAGAAAAAGTTGGCCATGCCCACCCAGTCACATTACCCCCCCCCCCACAAAGCCAAGCCTACAGAACCCATAGTAACAAATTTTACATTTCACCACTGCATTTCACCATATCTGTAGAAGTACTGAGGTGCGTTCTGACAGATTACTCTAGTAAAAATTTGTTTCCTAGTTTGCTTGAATTTGGGGATTCACTTACAATCTAAATGTCATATTTATTGGCTGTAAACATTGCTTCTAAATAAACAAACGTTTTATTTATTTATAAATGTATAAATTTATTCAATTTATATAATGTTGAATTCTGTCACCCCCATAGCAATTTAAAGTGGCATATAAACCTAGTTAAATAAATAATTAACAACATATAAATACTGCACCAAATGTAGTTTATGCATGGCTTGAAAAGTTCTCACACAGGGCATATTCAGAGGTGGGCTGCTGCCAGTTCTGACTGACTCGGGTGAACCGGTAGTTCTGACCACTGTCTGGGCCCTCCCACCTGCCCCAGTGCTATTCTGTCCTATATATATATATCACTTTTTGGCTTGTTCACCCCACCCACACAGCCCAGCTGATTTCCACGTCTTGCCCACTCTACTCTCTGCGGCTGCCCGAGAAGGTGTGCTGGAAGCCACATGCATGAAATCGCTGTGTGTTTGAACCCACGCACAAGCACGGAAGGCGTGTGTGCGCTCCCATTTTCTGCACTAGGCGAACCAGTTGTTAAATTATGTGAAGCCCACTTCTGGGCACATTTGAATAATCTATACAGGGGGTAATAAGGCTATGAGGTACAATCACCACTATATCAGAGGTGGGTTTCAGCAGGTTCTAACCAGTTCTGGAGAACCGATAGCGGAAATTTTGAGTAGTTCAGAGAACCAGTAAATACCACCTCTGACTGGCCCCGCCCCCATCTATTCTCTGCCTCCCAAATCTTAGCTGATCAGGAGGAAATGGTGATTTTGCAGTATCCTTCCCATGGGTGGGGAGGGAATGGTGATTTTACAGTATCCTTCCCCTGGAGTGGGGTGGGAATGGAGATTGCACAGTATTCTTCCCCTGCCATGCCCACCAAGCCACGCCCACCAAGCCATACCCACAGAACCAGTAGTAAAAATTTTTGAAACCCACCACTACACTATATATGTTTAACATGAATAGTAAACAGCAATAATTGTACAGTTCATCTTTGTAAAGAGTTAAGAATAGGAACCCTGATGTTTGAGTAGAGATTCTGATCTGATTGCAATGTAATAAAGTTACTAACATTATTTATTCATGCTATCGTTCCAAACTGACCAGCAGCACTTCTGCCTATTTCTTACAGTTTCAAGCAACCGACTTGCTCTTCTAAGTACATGATAAATCAAAGGAAGATGAAAGTGAACTCTACGGATCTGTATACAAAACCTTCAAAGATAATTTTTAAAAAGTCTCTAAACAAATCCCTGGCTGATGATATAACAACATTTTGTTATGACACCAGCTGGACATTCAGCTATTACATTGCCGGGAGTCAAAAAAATGAATAATAACTGGTTATAGAAGATGCTGAAAAATAATAATAATAAAAAAGATTGCCCCAAACAAAGACACACTCTATGGCTTTGCTTCTCACTATAGGGGGGTAATTAAATACCAAGCAAGCTAACCAAATAATGTGCCATACGGGAATACGCCATAATATAGCAATACATAATACAAAGTAAGTTGGTAATGCTTGTCCCTATAGTGTCTATAATTAAAATAGATTATGCAATGATATATTTTAACTTAAAATTTTGCATTGTTATAAAAAGATGCTATAAATAACAACCATCATCCTAGTAATCTTGCTCTGCCAAATTCATATTATTTAAACTTTAGACGTGAATTAATTATACTGGCCATGAGCAAAAACTTTAGCAGTATTTGTTAACAAATAAGGAAAGTTATGTTGCACTGTTTGGTAAAGTATTCTAGTTTTCTAGTATATTTCATCATTGTGGTTTCAGATTTATAGTGAATTTCCATGACTTCTTAATCAAGTATGTCACTTCCATCAGTGGTTCTGGAGAAGACGTTTAGTAATATCTCCTTCAAGGATTAAACTTGTTCTTGTTTGAAGAAGTTATTAAATTAACACTGTACGCTTTGTCAAGTTGTCCCTTATACCATGGGTGTCAAACTCACGTCGTCACAGTGGCGTCACGTGATGTATCCCCCCCCCTTTTGCTAAACCAGGCATGGCCATGGCCAGCATGTGACGCATCTGGCCTGCGGGCCGCAAGTTTGGCAGCCCTACTTTATACCTAGCATGATGGTATCCAAATATCACCCCTCCTTGTTAATTATTTGTTCTGTTCCACCGAAGAGAACATAGACTTTCTTTTAGTAGACATTGCTGGAGAAAAGTCATGTTAATCTATGATGGCAAAAAAAAACCCAAACGAACAAACCTAGGAATCCGGTAGCACCTTTTCCAATTGACAATTTTTATTAAAAGGCATAGGCTTTTTATTAAAAGCAGAAATTACAGCTCACAAAAACCTTTGCCTTTTAATAAAGTTGATTAGTCGGAAAAGGTGCTATCAGATTTCTGGTTTCTTTTAGCAGATAACTGCTTAGAAATCTTTAAAGAGGTTTCAACATTTTGTTCAGTTTTGATGGCTACTTATTTATTAGATTTTTATCCTGCCTTTATTACTGTTCTGTCCTCGCTACACATTAGTCTGCATGCAGCTCGATATGCAGCTAAACCCACCTAAACTGGGGAAAATAGGAATACGTACAATGAGAACCAAATACAAGATAGACAGTATTAACTTACTGCTGAACATATCGATTAATAAATACAAGCAATTTAAATCTCACCAGCGATGCTCTGTGTGGGATGTGGATTTGTCCTTGGATGACCTTGTGCTTCTGCCTTCTCCAAATGCTAAACGAAATAGAGTCTGGCTTCCCAGCATGCACTTGGTTTAAGAGTGCCGGCTGATGGGTAAAATGGGTTGGGTCAGCTTCAAAACAATATACTTGGGGCATATTTGTCTCTCCGGCCACTAGAAGGGGCTAGAGGACAACAACAGTATATATATTTATATGTTGTGACATAACAATTGCCTTATAAATAATTCAAAGTTGGAAAGATACATAATAATCTTTCCACCTCCTCTTTTCCCTCACAACAACCTGTGTGGTCAGTTGGACTGAAATTGACCCAAAGTCACTCAGTTGGCTTTCATGCCTAAAGCAGGACAAACAATCTTCTGGTTTGTAGCCTGGTTCCTTAAACACAAGACCAAATAGGCTACAGGAAGATTCTGGGTCTAAACTAGGTTTTATTAAACCAATTACATTATAAGAAAGGTTATTAAACCAATTACATTATAAGTTTTATTATTATTCATTTCATAATGTTAATATTGCTTTATTTATATAACTTGCCTGATAGTATATTTGCAATTTTCGTTTGTGAACGTATATAAATAAATAAGTCAATTTTACTATGATCAGGTAAATCAGGTCAATAATATATGTATATATTATATATAATAATATATATATATATTATATAATATATGCATGTATACACTATTGAAACAGCGACGTCTACCCTGGCTTGGGCATGTCGTGAGAATGGCTGATGGTCGGATTCCAAAAGATCTCCTGTATGGAGAATTAGTGCAGGGAAAGCACCTCAGAGGGAGACCACAGCTGCGATATAAGGATATTTGCAAGAGGAATCTAAAGGCCTTGGGAATGGACATTAATGCCTGGGAAACCTTGACCTCTGATCGTTCAGCTTGAAGGCTAAAGACGCAGCATGGCCTTCTCCAATTCGAAGGGATATTTGTTCGGCAGGTTGAGGCAAAGAGGCAGTCCTGGAACCAGCGAAATCTGGGGACTGGGCCGGGGACACAATGTATCTGCCCTCAGTGTGGAAGAGATTGCCTCTGGAATTGGCCTTTTTAGTCACACCAGACGCTGTTTTAGAACCTCTTTCTAGAGCACCTTTTGAGACTGAAGGTTGCCAATGCAATTATTCATTTCATAATGTTAATATTGCTTTATTTATATAACTTGCCTGATAGTATATTTGCAATTTTGGTTTGTGAGCATATATAAATAAATAAGTCAACTTTACTATGGTCAGGTAGGTCAGGTCAATAATATAAGATGATACAGTATAATATGTTATGTATAAAATATATAATAATAATCTGAAAGTCTCTAGGTTTTTTTTTTCAGATTATGTTGATAAGACTGCCACAAAGATTAAAAAAACATTATATATATATATCATCATCATCATCATCATCATCATCATCATCATCATCATCATCATCATATATTTTCTATACATGACCAGTCTGCAGGAAGAATTAAAGTAAGTGTTTTTAAAGGTAATAGTTAATAAGTTCATTTCATATCTTTCAGGCTATTCCATCAATAAACGTGCATTTTAAAATCCAAATAGAATGAGACAGTATGTACAGAAATTCAAAGATACTTCTAAAGTTCTTTCTGGAAAAGAATGTATTAATACCCAGAGACTCGACATTCTTTACACAACTTTTGTGTTTACTTCTCTGCTTTCATTGCAGCATCTCTGATATTAGGAAATGAAATGAAAATTGAACTGTATGTTTTTCATGTAACAAAGTAGACCTGAATACAATTTTCAAATATGAATCTCAGCAACAGCAGTGAGTGCAGTGCAAGATGAAAATGAAATTACCTTACAGAGTTGACTTGGCAATGATAATCTTTCACCCAACAGAATTGAAAAAAGCTAGTAGGTGGATTGTATTTTATACATTTTTTCTCTATGCTGGGAATATCACTGCTGAGAACAAAAATCTAAAACATCCCCTAAAGTCTGCTAAAAGCTTTTATTTGTAGAATAAAATATGTTGCTTTTTGTGAGAGCTAGTACAATATGCTTAAGAATTATTAAATTCATAATGTATAAAAAAGGAACAGAGAAGCTATATAACTTCAATCTCTAGAGTTTATTATGAATGTTTAAACTTGCTTGTAAATATCAAAAGAAAAACAGTTAGACCTCTAAACATCCAATACTGCATAGCCAACGGTTAGAATGCATAGAGCTGCATTCTAACCGTTGAGCCCTGGTGGTGCAATGGTTAGAATGCAGTATTGTAGGCTAACTCTGCCCACAGTCTGAAATTTGATCCTGACAAGGCTCAAAGTTGACTCAGCCTTCCATCCTTCCAAGGTCGGTAACATGAGGATCCAGATTGTTGGGGGCAATATACTGACTTTGTAAACCTCTCAGAGAATGCTGTAAAGCACTATGAAGTAGTATATAAGTCTAAGTGCTATTGCTATTCATAGAATTTAATGAATCCTTAACTTTTACACATGAATCAATCTCCCACATACATGCTTCTTAATTTAATGTCCAAGTGTCAGTTTTCCAGATTGTTTCACCTTATACATTACACTATATTTCTGTTGGATTTCTGTTGGATTTGTAAAAACCTCCATAGCACGCTGCAAGACTTTACTGATTATACAGAAAACTATCATATGACTTACCTTCTTTACCCATCTCCAAATACTTCACATTTACTAAATATAGTCTGGTTGCTTTTCCGACTTTTGCAGAATATATTTCGATAGAGACAACACAAAAGTTGTTGTGCAAGGAATTTTTGCGTGTGTGTGACACTTTTTGCTGGTGTCACACAACCAGATGGCCATTCCAGGAGCCATCAGAAATGCCATAAAGAGTTTAAGTTGAAAAAAAGATAGAAGAGAATTTCAGCCACCTTGTAAGGTTTGGAAAATAAGAGTGACCAATGTTGAATTTACCATTTATTTTTCCTTAACTCAAAATTCAAATTTGCCGGAAGAGAAATCCGTCCCTAAAGCAAACTGTATGTGAAAAGAATATCCTGTTCCATCAATCTCTATTTTCCAGTAATGATAATGTAATGGTGAATTTCTAACCTTGGAAAAGATAACCTTTTGCTAATGGTTGTCTCTTATGTATATATTTGCATTCACAGACTTTTCAGTTGATTTTCAAATATATTTGCCATAGTATTTTGAAAATTTTAGTGGGTGCTCTATCACTGGAGGTTTTTAAGAAGAGAATGGACAGCTATTTGTCTGAAATGACATAGATTTGTTTCTTGCTTGAGCAGGGGATTGGATTAGAAGACCTCCAAGGTCCCTTCCAACACTATTATTCTATTATTCGGAAATAGTTTGATTTGGATGCTCTTTGAACTGTGTTTATACTTCATAACGTTAACATTTATGAACATTTCATTAATAAGCAGTATAGCAATGGTAAAGACACAAATAAAACTACACAGGTATGGAATATAATTAGTGTGTTATCTTAAAGTGAAGTGCTATAAGTCAGATCACTGAACCCCTTCAGATTCTGCTGTTTTTAGAACTGAACTTAGGATGACCCTTGCTCAAGGTTATACAGCATTGTTATTACTAAAAAAAATACTTTCTTAAGGACTACATGAAATTGGAGATGCAACTCTGGAAGCTGCAAAGAAAAAGCACAGGACATATCTTGCAGTGGGTGCTGCAAGAGAAGGGAGGACCATTCCAGTCTCATGGGAATCTGAAAAATGAAACCATTGCTATGTTTAAATGAAAAGCTCTTCAAAAGCGAAAAATTTTAGTCTAAGGTCTTTTTTGCATTGTACGTATGCATATCAGCAAGTCATACTCAAAGTAAGTAAATTGTTCATCAGAATTTAAGTGTAGTTTAATGATTCCATTTTAATCTGACGAGATGGTTCTACTGGCCTTCTAGCTAGAATAAGGCATAGGTTTTCTAATAAAAATACCTCAGCTGAGTCAATGAAAATCATCCAGGGTAAGACATAATATGATTTCTCTGGTGTTTGACCATTTGCATTCATCAAACCATAGTTAAGCAAATAGAATTGTAGCATTAGGAGTCAACAATTTCAAAAATACAGGAAAAACTGAATCAGGTCAACCTATGTTATAAATAAGCAAGCACTGAAGATTCAGTACTTACCTTGGAGAGAGAATGGATAACAGCTAAGGAGAGGTCCTTAGCTGGAAAAATGTTAGAAACATGTTTTCAACCAGCTGTTATGGGGATTCAGTCTAGCTCTACCACTCCTATGACAAAAAAAAAAAAATGCTAAAAACTTACTGTATATTTCTGTTTAAAGGGAAGGAAAGAGTCTCCGAGGCTTTCCATCTTATTCCAATCTTCTGTATTGCATATGCCAAGAAAGATTAAAGCGTCATATCAGACAATCGAAATGGTAGCATTCAGAAATTAGTGACAGAACAGTTCAGTGTCTCGTTAGCAGATACTCTATTAACATTCATCAAACACCCATCCTAACAATTCATCCCAATAGTCGCCTACTATCTGGACAACCCAAGACAAGTTTTAGGTATTCTGATAAGAAAGTAATGTTTTACCTGTTGTTGACACAAGGTCTTCAGTGAGAACATTATAGGGAAAGGATTCAGATGTTGGTGATCTGCTGGTCTCCAGCTGTCCTAGCAACTTTCTTGTGAGGATGCTCCCTTCAGTCTGAAAAATGATTGTATGTCTCCATGATATCAGACATCTCAGTGGTGGGGCTATTTTCTTCTTTTCAGAGGGTCCTGAAATGGAAATAAGGATCTCACGTAAGATTGGATACTGGTCTATCAGGAGGTCAAAATACTTGTTGGTATGTGTACAATTTGTAAAGACTTTGATTAACCCAAGGTACAATCGCATACAGCCTTCTATTACTCTGTTACGAATTAGGAAAATTATCATTTCCTTGGTTGAAAATTGACTGTAATATATAGTATAAACCAAGAGTATAATCAAGCATACTGTTGCTGAACTATACTACTTTTTGCTTAACAGTGCTTACTTTCATTACATCCAATTTCTTTGAAGGCATGGAAATCAGATAATGTTATTTTAAAAGT